AAAAAAAAAAAAAAAAAAAAGATGCTACAAACGGCTTCATCGACAGCTGCGATTATCAAGTCTTTATCTGAGGATGTCCAATCTTGAACCAGTCTTTGCCTATTGATCTAAAGAGTGTCATGATTCACAACCACTGATCAGAGAAGACGCTCCTAATAAGAGAGAAAGATTTATCGCAACCACCATGCCCAACTTTAGTAGGTGCTTCTTTATGACGCTTGACCAGGACAACTTGCCACCATCAAAGACTTTCCATATTGACATGATTGTGATTATCATCAGTTCTGTGTTTAGTGTCATCGCAACAACATCAAATGCGATAGTTATAGCGATAATCTGCTCTACGCCCTCACTGAGGACCCCATCATATGCAGTACTGTGTTGCCTTGCCCTCAGTGATCTCCTCGTGGGATTGATTGTTCAACCTTTAGTAATTATTGTCAAGGTCGGTGCGATTTTTGGATCGTTCAGCTGTAGGTTTTGGACACTCAAAGAAGCCATTTCCTGGACACTCTCTGGTGTATCTTTTCTCGCCGTGGTCTTGGTGAGCGTTGAACGCTTTCTTGCCCTCTATCTCCACCTGAAATACGTCCAGCTTGTCACTATTCGCCGAGCTTGCTTAACATATATCAGCTTTTATCCTCTAAGTATATTCGCAGTTAGCCTTTGGCTTGCTGGAGTCGATGAGAAGAAGATGGGAATTCTAGTAGCCGTTATGACAACTGTTTCTTTATCTGTTATCATGGTCATTCAGTATAAAATTTACCGGCTTGTTAGACGGCACCAACGGCAAATTCAGCAGCAAGTCGATGCCGTTAGCCAAGCCTCGAACGCCCAGAAAACTCAAAGGCTTGACATAAACAAATACAAGAAATCTACATCCACAATCATGTTTGTAGTATTGTTATCAGTGTTACTGTATATGCCGTGCATATGCACCAAGGCTGTGCTGTCAATCAAAGGCTTCACTGAGGATGTCAACCATGCCTATGATATAACCTGGTGCTTTCTTTACATTAATTCGTCTATAAACCCCTGCATTTACTGCCTACGAATGAAGGAAATCAAACAGGTCTTTCTGCGCCACGTTAGAAAATACTTGCCCTGCTTAATATGCTCATAACCTCGCATAAATACTCATCCCATTTGGAGTTCGCCTTTGCTCAGTCTTAGCCTCGATTGTGTACAAATGTGTTCTTTTCTTTCATCAAGGTTCATTGTATAGTAACGTACGTACTATGGAAAAAATATGACGAGTTGATTAGGATGCCACGGGTTTTAGTTGAATAGCTGAATATTATAATAGACAACCGAGACTAAGGCTGAGCAAAGAGAACTCGAAACTAGACTATTCACCGCATAGTTTGTCGTCTTCAATGGATGTGGAAACGGAGAGGAGGGGGGTTTAGCTAGTGGCCTTGGCCCACCCCCCTCCCCCCAATTTTCAAGAATTCGAGAATCGACATGCTTTTCGGTTATTTGACCAAGTTCTTTTTGAATATTTCCTGCTATCTTATCTGTGATTATCGCTTAAATTTCACTGGCTGAAAGCCATGCGGAATAAAAAGCCCTCAGCGCAGTATTTTGCCCAAGACAACGGCAAATCCCCCTCCCCGCTTAAACCTTCCAAGTCGAGTTTTATACCTAACCAGGTGACTCGATCGACAAAACTAGCCTTGACATATTGTAATGTCCAAGTCATTCATGTCCAGAAAGAAAATTGTCACGAAAATGTCCAGAAAAACTGAAAGAGCCAGTTATTAAATTGACGTATTTATTTGCCTATCTTCATTTTTCTTAGTTTATAGATTGATATGAATAATAAAAATTGTGATCGTACAACTATTGTGTCTTAGGAATTTTAAAACTCACTCTCAAGCTTTAATGCAATGAGTATAGCTAGTACTTTGTCAAAAATCCTGAAACGCTAAGAGGACTGAGAAATAGCATGGGGACAGAGAAGGCAGTGGTACTTGTATTACGGGGACACCTTCGAGGCTTTGCTTAGTGTCTGAGGAAAAGAGGTTTAATTTTCACTGTAAATGATTCAGAGAAGAAAATTTTTGTACTGAGCTGTCCGTTTAATAAACCGTGTTTCCTTAATAGCAGCACAGCTGTATAAATTCTTTTTTTTCGTTCAAAGATATGCCGCGAAAATTGAAGTCATATGTCGTTTTCTAATCCAAATTGTTTTGCTGTGGTCAATTAGCCTTAAAGAAATATTAATGGTTAAATTTCAAGGTTGTGAGAGCTTCGGTCTTCGCGTCTTTTCCCAACTAATTCCAGTGTTCTTTCTTTTCTGTTTCGTTTTGAGATCAACTTTTTTCTTGCAACCTTATTTCAATATTCATAGCTTTTTATGAGATCACTTGATCTTCGAGTCTTCTGCTGACCCTATCCCAGACACACTAAAGATCAAATCCTATATGTTTCAAAAATGCTACAGAAAAATGATACTTATAGGAATAAAAACCCTTGAGAATTCTATACCTATGTTCATGGGATTCAGTTTACGAGAAGCAGAATAAAAATCGAGCTAAAAATCTATTTTTACGTTTATTTTCTGCTCATTCTTCAAGGCAAGATATACCTGCTCGATTTTACGGGTCGGAAAACCCAACATGATGTAATCCTCATGTTCTGTGCTCTGATTGGTCTTCACAGTGTTTATTGACAGATCCAAACACTCCAAGCACCTGTTTGTAGCGATACGGTTACGTAGTTAGCAAAGTTAGCGTTCCAAACTGACTACCCAGTTGATTTTTCAGGAATTTCGTAATTTTTTATTCATAAACGGTTCGGTTCTCAGTTTGACGAGGGAACGAATCGAGCTGTTCGCGGTCGAGAAAACGAAGGTAAACAGCCACATTTGCTTGGATTTAACAGCATCAAAAAGTTTGCTAGACTTCTATATTTTTCTGTGGCAAACCTGGAGGCATTTAGTGGTGATTTGGTGGTCGAATCCCGGGAATAATTTTTTGGGTACTTGGTGTAAGGCGTCAGTTACTGGTATTGAGTCATAATTGTCAGCGAAACTAGAGCAAACACCCGCCACTATGGTGTGTTACTTGAGCGATATTCTGCGATATCTTGGTCTGATTGTGCTTTTCTTTTAGGGGTTTATTACTGGGCACGACTTTGGCTGATAACAGGACATAGCTTTGGTCTCGGCCTCGAAACAGGTAAGCTACTGTGTTCACTTGTACAATCACAAACAAAATTTGACAACTGACGGCTTCTTTATCCAGTTGACTTAAGGCATGTAAGGAAATCTTCCTTGCTTTAAGACATGATTTTTCAGCACTAGAATCAATATATGCTATTATTTTTCCAATTATTTGTTCCTCATAACAGTCCAATTACATTCTAACCAAAGATATCAATTCACATAGAGAATCACTCACATGGAAAAAAACAGCATTTGTAATTCCTAAATCCGCTCGGAGTAAAAGTGGCCCTCCTCTTCTAAAATGCACATAAAATCGTAAAAATTATATAAAATACTGACAGCCTATATTTTTCTTGTACTTTTACTTTTCTGATCTCTCAAACTCAAATTCAACCAGGAAAATCAAACCTTCTCAACAGGAACTTTCTTTCTTATTTGTATCACTAAATATTTCAGTTTAGTAGCCATTGTGTATCATATCATGAGATTTTCTCTCGTGTGCTTTAGGATCTCTCAAAATACGTACAGACTATGATAATTCTTCATTCCCTCACCATTCTTAATAGAAAATAAATTATTTAAACATCGTTATGGCCCTACATCCAAACTGGTTAAAGCCGAGCTCTTTTTTCCCCTCCTTTTTATCATCTCTCTTTTTGGGTCCATAAGAAAACTARCTAATTTGATAAATGGATGGCAATTATTTAAGAAAACGATTTTTTTGTTATTTCTTCTAGTGCTATGTTTTCATAAATAATGAATTAAAAAAAGGTTCGCAAGCGTTAGAGCATGTAAATTATTTTCTGGGGTTTTCTTGCCAGAAACATTGCGGATTGAATACATAAAAGTTATATAGTTCACTGACCATGGACCATGGTACACGAATTAGTCACAAATTTGAAGGAACATTTTTGACTCTGCTTTTGAACGGATGAAAAGTCAAAGAACATTCAACAAAAGATTATGTTTCAACTATTTTAGCGCTTTAACCACTTTGATATTTTGGCATTTTCGTGTATATAAGAATATTAACCAAGAAAAGCCTGTAAATAAGAAAGACATTTTCCTGTGGCTTTGTAGACATGTTTAACAGAAACTACATGTTCTTTTTTCCCAATAGACTTTGAGACGCCTTTTATATTTTTGCACATTAAAAAAATAAATAGTCTATCAATATAAACTAAGACTGGCTTTTAATCTATGACTTTTTTTAGGCTTTAACAAAGATTGTATGTTCGTTTTTTTTTCTTTTTTTTTTTCATGTTAGTATATAAATGAAAATATAAACTCTTTTGGTGTTGTTTCCACACCAACCAGCATAAATATGTCGTCATATGACAAAATTCGTCCACCAACCCTACGCCACATAAAATATGAATATTTAAAAATCAACCAAATCAAACCCTGGTGCTTCATCTTAATCATGGGCCAAATTCAAATATTATATTAAAAATCTCCGCAATTTTACTTACTCTCCAATCAACTTTAAGATCGTAAAAACCCGATTTCTTAAAAAGGCAATTTGGTCCGTACTTTGGTTTAAATCAGATTTAGAAATAAAAAAAGGCATTTTACGACTGTGATACCACAGGTATCCCAGTAATTAATTATTCTAGAGGCGAGGGTTCAGGCAACACGAGGTCCCGATATGCAAGGTCTGGCGAAACTCAAAACTTTCTGGAGACTTATGGATGAACCTGACTTTTTGTACTGGACAATTTCATATCAGTGGCAGGTCGTTTTTTAAGAGTCGGAGATCGGAGAATGCTCCGGTAGCTAGAACATAGAACGTGGGACACAAAATCACTATTTGTATTGTGGTTCCATCTTTGAGTCGCATACAACGTAGTTAACTTTATATCCTACGACGTTCTCACGCGTTTTAACCTGTATTGTATTTCAGACCACTGACTTCAACATGAGACTAACCTTAACAAGTATCGTGTGCTTCACGTTATTCGCATTAACCGCGGCAGCACCCGCATCCCACAAACGATGCTGTAATCCTGGTCCCTCTTGCAACAATCCATGTCCCTCAAATAATGCTCAAGGAGGTGCAGGGGCTCTTTCGCCCGGACCAAATCCATTTACATTCATGTCCCCAGTTGAACAAGGCCCACCCAGCACTGTAATGGACAACTGCTGCGCTCCAGGACCATCATGTGCTAATCCTTGCCAACAGCAGGGACCACCACCACAGACGTTCATGGTAAACTTCCCACCTCCACCTGCAGCACCCATGCTTCCTCCTCCACCACCACCAATTTACACTGGTGACAACTGCTGTCCACCTGGTCCCTCTTGCAGCAACCCATGCGATGCAGGAGCACCCCCTATGATGGCACCTCAGATGGCACCACCTATGGCTCCTCCCATGGCTCCACCTATGGGCGCACCTATGGGTGCACCGATGGATCCTTGCTGTGATCCTGGTATGGTACAAGGATGCGCAAATCCTTGTGCTCCACCTGCCGCACCAGCACAACCTCAAACTTACGCTCCATACCCAGGTAAGGAGAACATTAACGATAGATAACCAATTAGAGCAAAGGGGTTTTATTGTTCTGCCGTCTAACCACAGGCAGCACAAGCTGTATAATGGGCGCCGGCACGTGACGGTGCAAAACCTCTATAAGCTACTCTAGATATGCCTCACTTTTGGTCTTGCGTGGAATTTCTACTAGTCATTGATTTCTACTAGTCATTGATTTCTACTAGTCATTGATGATTAAATGGAAGACAACGTTTGTTCTTCACTGAAGACTTTTAATAAGATTCACGTGTTGATCTTCACCTTGCACCACTATCAGGCCATGTGAACCTACGCCCCTTAAMTCAAACAGTTGTGTCAAAAATGAACCCCAGAAAGAAGAAAAGAGCACCTCGATGTTATTCAGGTTTATCTCATATGTGTCACCGAAAAAGGCGTTCAATATCAAATCAACTATTCAAAAGAGATTACAAATAAAAATACAATGTTCTCTGTTTCATTTCTAGGTGAGATCACCTTCAAATTATTGCAGACATGGGATCCCGACAAGTACTTGAATGAACAATCAGCAGCATTTAACATCCTCGCAGGAAATTTAGAAAACGCCGTAAGTCATCATAATTTATTCAGTTGCATTCCTAAGAATTAAAGCAACTGGACCATACTCACGTGACAGCCGCGTGAGCAACGCCCCATTCGTATTTTTCCAAATCTTACTCATTGATTGGTCTATTGCATTTATTGTTCTCTATGCTTAAGGATATCTATTTTCCCCAACAAATCAAAGAATCTATGTCCATTTAATTTCTTTACTCCCTGTAGTGGGCGAATATAAAATTTAGAACCTGTCAAGGATTTCTATTATATTTTATTATATTTATATTTTATGTTTATTTTTTAGCCAACAAGGGATACTTTCAGTTCATTGTACCTAACTAGGCGTATTTGTTATTCTCTTGAATTGCAGATCAAAACTGTTCTTGGACCAATGACACAAGTTTCTAACATATATTTCAGGTAATAAACAAACTGTGACACGTTTCGGGGGGGAAATGGGACACACATAGTGGCAAAAGTTTCCGCGCACGATATTTTTGTTCCACGCGCGATATATATATTTTTTTTCGCGAAAAATAAATTTCGCGTCTACTTGCCACCCGATTCAGGGCGTTCGAGTTGTGTGTTAGGTCGCGTCGAGAAAAAATAAAGCTGCCTAAATTAAGCCAGGCAAAATATAAAACTGAGACGGCAACTTTGTTTATGCACCTAGCATCGGTAATTTGGGTTCCCACCGGATTCTTATGATTCACTGTCATGTAAAGTTACCTCAGAGATAAAGGATGCTAATACAGTTGTTTTCTTTACCAGAGAGGGATATGTACCTGGTAATCCTAGCACTATGCCTAAGGTTGTAGCTCACGTTATGGTTAATGGCGGATCTGATGCCGCATCTCTTCTCCAACGAGCTGTTACTCCTGATGGTACATTGGGTGATGGACTTAAGGTCTACAAAGACTCCTTCAATGCTTATTAGGTATTACAAAGGTAAGGGACTCACGTCTAGGACAAACCTATAACCACCCAAACACATGGATCTTTTCTTAGGTAGCGAAAATGGTGCATTGTGGTCTAGCTTGGGTACAAACACCCTTTTTTTGTTCGCCGTGCCTTAAATACAAGTTAAATCATAGTTGTCTGAAACTTCGTCATTTCTTTTCCAGATAACATTTTCACGCCAAACAGATGACAGACATTCGAATGACGTCAACAACAATGAACAACAAACGCGGTGTATGAAAAAGCACATAATGTACATATACAACCAAGACCCTGTCAAATAAGGGTCCTCTATGTAACATATGGACCTCAGTGACTTCTTTTTCCAGAACACCCTGTCCAAAAAGACCCTTTATTGCGGTATTTCTAATGTTTTGATTAATCGTAATAATAATAATAATCTCGTCCCAGTCTCTGTTTGTTCCTCAAAGTCGCGCAATAAACGGGGCCTGGGCCGAATAGAAGATCTCAAGCTGAAATGGTTCAAATATTCAAATAGACTTGTTTTCAATCGAAACGGAAATTTCCTCGTTTCGGGAAACGTTTGTATCTGATTCATATACTATGATGAAGTATAAGCACTGATTTTGTTAAAGCAAGCTGCATTGTTTTTTCTTTATCTAATGATAATCTAATGATTATCTAGTTCCCTATAGTAAACGAAAGGTTAAGCAACCTTGTATAAAATGTCGACTTAGTGCTGAAACACGAAAAATCCAAATCAGTACTCAAGTTTATATTGTGAATATTTCTTAGGAAGAAGAGGGGTTTCTTACTCAGAGAGTGTGTATAATAAAATAATATTACCTAACGTTTTGTGGGTCAATAACTTCGCTATTACACCAGTATAAGGTGGATTATTAGACATATATTATGGATGTCAGTATTATTGTTAGAGGATAGTAGTCTTGAAATAAATAAAATATAGAGTAAACAAAAGCTTGGAAGAATGAAATTGCATTTTAACATTTATGAGGAAAGAGAGAAAGAGTCAATACTCAGTTTTCCAAAGTCACGTGAATTCATTTAGCCTATATGACAATCAAACAAAACAAATTTCGTCATCGTACGTCCACCTATTCATTTCTCTTGCACATACTACCATTTTCTTTTTAAAATTTTCCAAAAAATTCAGGTAGCCAAACGCAGATATGCGATTGGGTGTAAAGATTTGAAAACAACCCATCACGGGGATGGATGGTTCATTGCCCACTCAGAATTTTAATGTTAGCAGATTTTATTATCTAAATTGTATAAAGCAATGACATTTCAGGAATGTAGGATAAAGACCGTTGCATGGGGATCATTGTGTTGTTCCATCATTGAATGTTCAGACTACTAGATACTACAAAGACTAAAGATTGGTTTCAAGTATTACACGAGTTTTGTCACATAAAAATTGCCTAATGTAAAGATGAACTGTTGATACTAGAAGAAAATATGAATACAGCAAAATATCTTGGCCAAGCCGCCATTTTGTTTTGGTTTAGATGAGAGCAAGGTTACCAACGAGCTACCAGCCATGTAGTTGTACTTTTACTTATTCTTTAGTTAGAAGGCATAAATCTTGATGCAAAATGATTACGAATAGTAGTTTATATGAAGTTTGGTTATTTTTCATGATGCGGGGTTCCTGTGGTGTAGGCAGGAAACACACGAACTATCTATCAAAGGTTCTATTCCAGATTCTTGATAACACACGAATAGACGAATACAAATGATAAGGTATACTGTTCTGTGGTACATACAGAAGTGATGACTCGTTGCGAGTCTACACAGTTATCAGTCGCGTTACGCCAACTGACCGTGACAGAAAGACGAGTGGCTCACGCAACGTCAAACGTTACGCAACTCGCCCTTGATTAGTTTCTTCTCGTCTCAGTGATTTCACCGTACATTTCGCATTGCAAAATTTCATTTTATGGAATTGATAAGCGATGCTTACTGTTTGATAGATTTGATGGTATTCTTTTGTCTTCAGTCTTGTCCTTTCCATTCCAACACTGACCCATCAGTACCTCCCCTGTTTCACGCCTTGTTAGGTTTTGCAGTTTGAATGCAGTTGGCTTTTAGCCCACCATGTCACTCCCTGTCGCAACATTCACAGTTACGTTTGGGGTCTTCAATGCGTTGTACACATCACGTCGGAATATTGACAAATTCTGAGTAAACCTACGATACCGGAAAGAAAGCACTTGACAACGATGTCCACGCAGTTACAGCATAATTACAAAGCAGTTTTCGTATAACTGTGAAAAGCTCAGTGCCGTAAGCGTTGCGTGCCGTGACCGTGATGTTTTCTAGATTTTTAATTGGCTGATTTTTTTCACGCGCAATATGATTGGTCTTGCATTGCCTTGACCTTGGCGTGACCGTGTCCGCGCCGTGTTTATGCCATGTTCCGGGCATTTGATTGAATGGAGAGTAAATTCTCGTGCAATGTGATTTGTCTGGCGTATCCATTGCTGTGTCACGACCGTGTTCGTGCCGTGAACTTTTCACGGTCATACGAAAACTGCACTATGGATACTACGCGACATGACCCAAGTTTTCACTAGCTGACATTAGAGACCTATAGTATCAGGTTTACTGCTAACCGCTTGGAATCAGGTCCAGAAACATGCCCACAAACACGGAGAAACACTCGGCATCAATGAAATTCAAAATGGCGGCTTTTCTAGCAACAACTTCGTTATGACGCCTTGCTAAATGTTGAAAGTTTGACGGAGAACACCTGACGTCGAACTGCAGTTGAGGTTTGCTGTACCTAGCAAGAACGTCATGCTAAAGGTCTTTAATTCAAGTGCTCCAGAATAAAACCAAGGTGTTTTCATTCTAAAGAAAATAAACATGGCTGCCACGTGGGTAATGCTTATTATCTCACTATTACTATTACATGTCATACCTGTCTCTGTTCTTGACAACTAGTGACCGTTCCACACCCTCCATGAGATTTCTGAAACAAACTCTCATGTCGTCTTGTTTGTCTGGTGGGGTTTGCATTGAGATGACGCTCTGCTCTAATTCACTAAAATACTATATACGAAAAAAACATCATTTGTTCCAGCTACACCAACACATATATTACAATAAATTATGATTTCAAAGCTCAACACCGCCACCCTCCACCATCCCATAGGACTAGAGATTTGAATCAAGAGCTTCGAAAATATTAATCCTTCCCATCCTAGCCCTTTTGCCCTCTAGCCCCAAGAGAATTCCACAAACCGCTGAGAGGGTATTCGAGCCCCCGAGCAGAACACATTTTGTCTGCTTTCTTGGTACAAAGTTGCCCATTCTCTCTTTAGAGGCACTCGAACTCATTTACGTTCAACCTCTAAAGGATCACAACTAAAGACGAAGGATTACAACACGAAGTAAAGTCAATGCAACTAGGTTTGTTGTTGCAGCCTTCCAATGGAAACATGGGATGTTATACATTTACATACCTCTTCATTGAGAAGAATGAGCCCTAACAGAGGTCTAGACATGGACCACTGAAAATATGAAAAGAAAAATCTTTGGTTGACTCTTTGTTTACAGTATTGTAAAATAGAGCAGAAAGACAGTTAAGCTGCTCTTCATTAGGCGGCATCACACTTACTACTAACCGTATTGCTGTATATATATCGTACCTGATTTCTACAGTCTTCAAACATAATGATGTTTAATACAGTGGAAAGCATCTACAAGAGAAGGTATAACATAGAAAAGTTCAGAATAAAATATCTCTCAGATTGATGTAGTTAGAAARGTCTGTTGTGTGAGCTGCAATATCCATTGCATGTTTTATTTGTGATTCTTTTTGTTGTTGTCACAGTATGATGAAAGCGTTTTAAATAAAAAGACAACAAACGAACCAATAGGCAGATGCATGATGAAGTCATTGACCTCTACTACCAGACTCCTTTGCACACTTTCTTTTGTTCAGTTAATTAGCACCAATTGTCTTACTATTCTCATGAGGGAATACGAATTTGAATAAGAAAGAAAATTCACCATCATTATGGTAGTGGGAGTCAAATGACGCCATCATGCAAACGTCCTATTGATGGATGGCTGCATAGATGTATGGGCGGATGGTTGAATGCAGGGGTTTATAAATGTATAGATTGATGGAATTAATAGATGGTTGGATAAATGCGCAAGTGGAGGGATGGATTGGATGGATGGGATGGGAGAGGATGGAAAGGGATGGGATGGGATAGGATGGGATGGGAGAGGATGGGATGGGAGAGGATGGGATGGGAGTGGATGGGAGTGGATGGGATGGGAGTGGATGGGATGAGAGTGAATGGGATGGGATGGAGAGGATGGGATGGGATGGGATGGGATGGGATGGGATGGAATGGAAATTATAAAAAATGAAATGTCTTGACCAACCTGTTGAAGTATTTCTGGATTGGATTCGAGGACACTGAGACACGAGGGTCCTTCTTCCATTCCTTGGGAATTCTTTTTTCTTCTCTTCGATAATGTTTTAAAGAGGAATGTAACTATATAATCGAGAGTTCCACAGCATCCTGTACACACCATGATATCTGAAGACAGAGATTAAGAAAATGAAGGTAGGTATTTTAAAGCGATTTCAATTTTTTTTAAAGGCAGAGAGCAAACTTGAAATACTGATTATGATAACGAGAGGGTTGGGTTGAGAAAGTTAAGGTCCTTTTACACTAGCAATTTTGACGCGTAACTTGAGCGGCGATTTCAGTGGTAATTTTACGGCGGCAAATAGCAGCTAAGTAGCCGCACCTTCGAACACGGTAACTTGGAAAAGTGAAAATCTTCGAGAGTCGGACTGAATCATTTTGGGCTACGGAAAATCGCCACTGAAATTGCCGCTCGAAATCGCGCGACAAATTAGCGTAAACTTAACTAAGCCTTAATTGGAGGGGTAAGATGGGAAGTTAGATGTGTGTTTATAGTACTCTTATTTGCTTACCTAATGCCGTTAGACCCTCCAATATTGAAGATAAAATATACATAAAAACCTGGAATCAAAAATAGCCAGATTAATTGTCCAACATGTACAACATGTAACGAAGAGTCAGGTGTTTAATGACCGGCATGTTGGATGACACTGAACTACGAAATCAAACGACTTCAACGACACTAGTTACAGTTTGTACTGTACTGTTTGTAGTTACACGACCCCACTCAAGAAAATGATACGCAAAGGAATCATTAGCATTGAATAATTGTTGGCGCTTTACAGAGTTTGAACTGGGTAAGATTTCAATCAAGGTTTTTCCAGAAATCCCTCCTCTAAGTTCATTTTCTGTTGGGAAGCATTATTACCTGTGGTTCTAGCCTACTGAGGAATGCCATGTGATCTTGAGCCAGGATCTCCAGCAGCGAATAGTATGCTTGGCTTACTTTAGGATAATCCTGCAATAACCAAACAATATGGAAAAGATATTAGAACAATTTCAGTGCTCATGCAGGTGTATACAGTAACTGAGTAAGAAAGTTTTCCTTTGCCACTTCTCCAATATACGAACGGTTTTTGCGTTAACGCAATCCTTAGTTTAAAAAGTATTCTCGACTTTCACATCCCCATAATGCCTTGCGTCTTTGGGGGGTAACCAATCAAAAAACTGTCCCAATTGAAAGGTTTCTTAATTGAATTTATACTATACCTGCTTTTATCTGCACAATACTGATTATCAGTTTATTCCAAGTTATTTTTGCGCGTACAGATCATGAAGAGTTTTGGTCTTACAGAAAATGTATTGACTTACGAAATAATGTTTAAAATTTACCTTAAACGTCTTTAAGCTTCTATCTTTTTCTGTTTTTTACTTCTTCATTTTATCTTTGGATACCAAACAATGTATTGTCAACATTGTCTGATCAGCCTTCAGCAAAATAAGTGGATTTTTACCCTCTGGTTACCCCCCAAAGACGCAAAGGATTATGGGAATGTGAAAGTCGAGAATTACAGAAGTCTTGATCAAGTCTTACCAGTAAATCGGATCGTGGGATCGCGAGGAGTAGCTTGACAAAAGTATTGAGCGCGTTTTCCAGCGCGTCATCACCGTACAAGCTGAATACACCGAAGTTCACATAACCGCCACATAATGCTGCCTTGAGCATCGAGAAACAGATAGAGATCCCTTTCAGTCTGGAACTACGTTAAGGAACTGAACAGTATATTATCACTACGCTCATCACACTTCATTAGGCCAATCAAAAAATGAGTGTGTTTCCTGTTGCGCGACCGACCTTAATTTTCTTGCTGATTTTTACCGACCCTAATATTTTTTCATTCCCAAACGCACCACAGGGTTCCCAGTGAGCTCATTTCCACTGTTGTATCAGTAAAAAAATCCGACCTACCGACCCCAATTAGTTTTCTCATGCAAAAGGAAAAGCACTTATTTTTTTGTTGGCCTTATCATTTTCATAATGCTTTTCAACGTTTTATCAAAACACAATATTCGGACATGAAGTGTTTATATTGACGATAGGATTTGAGACTGTGCAGAATATTAAGGATACTTGAGCGGGTACAGTTGATCATCTGGTGTATCAGTTATGGTGAGAATTCTAGATCCTGGAAAACAACGCGAAAAGGAATATCAATATCAATATCTTCATTTCTCAACATCCAGCACCTACTTCCATTATGCTTTCCCGACACTATCTCATGGTAATTTGGCACGCCTTATTACTGAGCTTTGCTCATGCACCCTCCCCTCCCTCGGGTTATTTTTACATGCCTTCCCTGGCCTTCATCCTAGATTTTTTTCGTACCGTATGTTGATATTATTTTGCTTGCTTCTCTAAACAACAAGATCCCGTTAGGCGAAGAGACGTCAAACTGTAACCGCTGTGATCTGTTTTGTACAAGTTCAGTCATGAGTTTTAGAACAGGTGTGGTTACATTAGGGTCGTGGTACCACAGCTCTATTGCTCGTAGTAGTACTTGCATGTATGTTGGATATCTGATGTAAGCCGTTAAGGAATTCGGTATACCTTTGTCAAGATGAGCGACATACACGAGCATGACGATAGGGAGATACCACAGGGAGCCCAATTTAGATAAAAGTGAATAATGAAAATAAAAATAAAATAATCAATTTTTTTAAAAATTCGATGTCAAGATAATGACCTCCGAAATACGAAAGAAAAAAATCGATAAAAAATGCACTAGAAATTTTTTTCCGCGCGCGCCTTTGTTTTCTGTATAATTCCCCTATAAAGGTAAAGGTAAAGTACCTATATTTAACGTCGGTAGTTCCTTCAGTTGGAATTCAACTGCTATCAATGGAAGCCGACGGTGCGCACTTTACCCCCTCTCTCCATCAGTGCTTTGTTTTAGRAGTATTTACAGCTGAAGCTACACGGATTAGAGAGAAATCGAAACAGACGTGGAGATCCTAAGGATCGAACCGTGGACCTCAAGCTCTGAAGGTCGCGCACTAACCAACTGAGCTACGCCGGCTCGTATGATATCGTAGTAAATAGCTAAGGATTTCTTCAAGGATACATCCATTCAAACAGCATCATATAGCTGCTTTTGCTGTTGAATGCAAACGCCAGACCCCTAATATCTCGACACAAACCAACCAGGGTTCTCTGCACATCAAAAAAAATAATAATAAATTAGCCTCGAATAACTGCAGTTTACATGCTACAGATTTTCAAATATACGCAATAATAGCATAGGAAATTGTTTTCAAATACGGTTGATGAGAAGAAAGAAATACAAAGTATTCTGTTTTATCATATAATTATCCATAAAATACCTATATTTCTCCTTTTCGAAAAAACTGATATTTTCACATGTGAAAATAAAATATTATTTTCACATGTGAAAATATCGTTACCATGTGTAATTAAGTTATTAGTTTATGAATAAAAACTTTTTATAATAATAAAAAGCTTATTAAGTTGATTTTATGGATAAATATATAATAAACAGAATATCAAATGGGCGCTTGGAGATACGAAATTTATCTTCTCGTGTTGAAAATCTCTTCAACACTCTTTTCAACACTCGAAGATAAATTTCGTATCTCCGCGCGCCCATGTAATATCCTTTATTTATTCTATTTCGTTCACCTTTGTTTCTTCCACTTGGAAGGCATTGTTTCCTCCGCTCACCAGTTGGCTTGCTACTGACTCCATTGCAGCTGGGATGAAAATAGACTAGATAATGAATGGGTGTGTGGGAAAGACGAAGTAATAAATAATTGTGACGTGAGAATGTTTTCTTTTATTGGAATCAATTGACCTGGTCCATTTAGGAATAATATTATCCTATTTCAGACCACGTGTCATTCTCTTGAGAATAACATTCTTTTTTTGAGTTTATCCATATTTATGCGTTCTCTAATGTGCAACCATCAAACAAAGAAATTATACTAGAGGGAATGACACGTGGTCTGAAATGAGAAAGCAGTGGATAAACTCTACATTGTGTAGTTCTAGAAAATATCCATACTCCACCACAAAGGGAATTTGTACAAAGGACCCCCCTATCCCCAGGAACTTCCGATTTTCTTCCATACAAACTCCGTAATTTTGTTCTTTCTCTGACCCCCCTCCCTCCAGAATTTTCAGTTTCCTTTCCTCCGTGGGTGGGGTATGGATATTTTCTGGAAGTACACATTACACCAACTGTCAAAATAGGTTGCTTGATATCAATAGACTTACTTGTTTCTGGTGCCATGAACTGTTCAAATTTTTCCTCGTCCTCACCCAGATCGACTATCAACAGTCTTCCGAGTGCAATATAAAATGTGGTTCTACAGCGCATGTCAGAATATGGCCTTCCAGTCTGGATACCCAGGAATGGAAAATGCTCGCTCTGAAATAAAACAAAAACATCTGTATGAACAGTATGAAGTCTTAAAATGATCCATCAATTGAAATTAAAGTACTGAGGAATGGYATAGTGTGGTGGCCTAGCGGTGAGAGCGCTCGCCTCTCACCAATGCGACCCGGGTTAGAGTTCTGCTGTGCTCGGGGTTGTATGTGAGTAGAGTTGTTTGTTGGTTCTTTCCTGTGCTTCGAGGGTTTTCCAGATTCTCCCGCTTCCCTCCCTTCCTAAAAATCAACTTCTAAATTCCAATTGGAATCCAGTGGAAGAAGAGCCACTCTGTGGAATCCACTGTTAATCCCATCATCATCATCATCATCATTATTATTAAACACCTTGCATGTGGCATCAAAGCAACTCAATTTGGAGAACAAAACAAAAGAATTACAATCTCTTGAGAATTGGAAACCTATCGTTATATCTTCATCCAAATTGAGCTGCATATATTCCAACGTGCTGCAAGGGGTATGCAAGGGGTATGTTGGAGGCCCCAGTTTGTGACTATTCAATATCACGACAATTCACATGGCTTACGCACACTACAATATACTTACTGTGTGATTATTGAGAATAAACTGGACAGCATCTAGTTTAATCAGTTTGCGAACGCTAGAATATCCCACAGATAGATCACTAAGTAGCTGTAGAGTCTTGGAGGTAATGTTTTCGCTTCTCCCCCAGTATTTCATATTAGTTATTCTGTACAATAAACAAAAACATGCAAAAAATGTTTATTTATCTGCAAATGGCATTGTTGAGGCTAATCCTCAACAAGGGTATTAGTTAGTAACTCTGGGGTCCCCGCGTTTCCCGTAATCCTTTGCGCGGTATATGTGTTTACCATGTGCATCAAGTAGTGGGCCCTGCTTGTATCCTGTGTTGTCAATGTGCATGTCTGAGTAGGATCAATTCTTTTATGACTGCAAAAAGATTCATGGTATGGATGTACCATGCCGTGTGATGCCATGCCCAAGCATTATGATTGTATTGCCTGATTTCATATTGTTTACTGGACAAAGTCCGGCAATCTGTACATTTCTTAGTAAATTTTGGAGTTTTTGAATGGCTGTATCTTGATCAATATTGACCCGATTAACACGAAACTTCGGAATTTTGTATAGATCAATGCGCTCTTTCTTACTATGTGGGTCTTGTGTCCATTATCACAATATTCAGGGACTCAAACCAAGTCCCTCACGATATGAAATTAGGCAATGAGCAGTGATGTCATGCTCCGTGATTGGTTCAAAGGATCTCATTAATTCTGTACTGTGGTTGCATTGTGTGCGGCCATGCTGTACAAGGAATACCAGTACTTACATCTTTCCTATAAAAACACTCAGCACCATTGATTCATCATGTAACCCTAGTCTCTCTGATAATCTTCTATAGACCTGAGAAAGACAGAAATAGAAGAGTAGGTTTGTATTATAGTATAAGTCTGGTTCTTTAATGCTTGACAGCAGCCATTATTGAGCACTGCCAGGTTTAGCATCAAATCATTGTAAATTACTATGCATATGAAGGCATGAAAAGTAAGAAATACATCTAAATTTTGCTAAATAACTTGAGTCTCACTCTGTCCAAAAGACCTCTGTTGTCAGAGAGTACAGCAGTGTCTAAACCACATGAACTGGGATATTGCAAGTGGGGGGCTGCATAATATATTTTTTTATTTCAATGCCACAGCATGCCATACCATGTATGCACCATCAGTGGGCTGCACTCAAATGATAATAACCATTTTATATTGGGTGCATGCATAAAATTTATTTTATTGAACAAGTTGGAAGCAATATTTCACCTTGGAGGTTTTCTGGGCTTGATCACCGACATAAATTTTTCTAAACTGTTCAAAGAAGCTCAGAATTGCAAGTTCTAATTGCTCACTTCCTCGTTGAGATAACCGTGAATCTGTGAGATTCATTAGCTGAAGAACCCTGGTGATTGCAAAAAATAAACACTGTTATTTTTAAGCCATACTCTGCTATAAACCTCTGTACTCATCTCACCTACAAACAAACTCTCCATCCAGAGCATCATATTCATCAACTGTAGAGTACATCACCCTACCACCTATCACTGATCCAATAATACCCACCTACACAATCTCTCCATCCAGAGCATCATATTTATCTACTGTAGAGTATGTCACCCTACCACCTATCACTGATCCAATAATACTCACCTACACACAAGCTCTCCATCCAGAGCATCATATTTATCAACTGTAGAGTATTTCACCCTACCACCTATCACTGATCCAATAATACTCACCTACACAATCTCTCCATCCAGAGCATCATATTCATCAACTGTAGAGTACATCACCCTACCAACCTTTCACTGATCCAATAATACACACCTACACACAAGCTCTCCATCCAGAGCATTATATTCATCTACTGTAGAGTACATCACCCTACCACCTATCACTGATCCAATAATACTCACCTACACAATCTCTCCATCCAGAGCATCATATTCATCAACTGTAGAGTACATCACCCTACCAACCTTTCACTGATCCAATAATACTCACCTACACACAAGCTCTCCATCCAGAGCATCATATTCATCTACTGTAGAGTACATCACCCTACCGCCTATCACTGATCCAATAATACACACCTACACACAAGCTCTCCATCCAGAGCATCATATTCATCTACTGTAGAGTACATCACCCTACCGCCTATCACTGATCCAATAATACTCACCTACACACAAGCTCTCCATCCAGAGCATCATATTCATCTACTGTAGAGTATGTCACCCTACCACCTATCACTGATCCAATAACGTACACTAGCCATGTTAACCTCCCTGAAATGAAATTTCAGAAGGAATTTTAAGAATAGGAGTATATGAAATTTTATGAATATTGTTAGTCTTGCTTTAGAAAATAAAAGTGACATTAGTGGGATATTTCATTGTGATCCACGAGAAAGTAAATGCATAGCTATCTTAATATAATGTAGCATTGCAAATGAATGCTAGGGTGCAATGCCTGATGTAAAAAAGGGGGAATACCCCAGCCCAAACACACAAGGGATTTCCTGTATTTTGATTGGCTGTATTTTCAATGACATGGGATCAATCCCCGTAATTATTATTATATTCCCAAAGATATTGATTATAAAATTTCCATTGATAGCTTTAATGACAAACCTTCTTGGATTGAGATATCATTTCTCACAGCATTAGTATTGTTCAAAAGTTCTTGATAGTTCTGGGCAGCTTGATCGAATAATGAGATGAGCAGGGTACATGTCTTCTCATACTCACAACGACCAATGGTTGATAACTGTATTTAAAAAATATTTCAGTCTATAATATTGTCTTGTTGATGATGAAAATGCATGGATATGGTTAATTCAAGATGATTGATGTTGATGCATGATGATGATACATGATGATGGTGCATGGTGATAATGTTGATAATGTTGATGGTGAAGAGAGTGATGATGCATGCAGTTGTATATGATGATGATGATGATCAGTGATGATGCATTATTGATCTTGGACAACAGTCAATGAGCAATCAAGACCAAATGGTGCGCAAGGCTTTGTTTTTACCTGGTCTAATTGTTGTTGTACTGTCCCTGTGTCCTCTAATGGATCATCTGCCCCTTCTCTGTAAACATTCGGTATTCAAATCATTTTAGCAAAACAAACAGAATTAAATTTTCACATCAGGATTTTTTCATAGAACTCCAGTTCCTTGTTCTATGACTCATTATAAAAAACTCAAATAACACATTAAGAAACTCTGGGGTGTTTTCCAGGGTACACGCCAACTCACCTGACTACAACCTCCACAGATGCCAAGCGTGAAGTTATGTAAGCTTTGGTAACCTAAAAAATATCAACTACTGTTAGTTATCTACATACCACAAAAGTATGGGTGACAGACGTGGCATGCGCTGCTACAGCACTGTCTCTCACAAAGGTTTACTTCGTGTCTGGGGGTCGCAGGCTTGATTCCCAGCTGAGCCACATATGAGTTGAGATTGTTTGATGTGTTGATCTCTACTTTGCCAGGACAACCTTTCTCCTGGCTTTCTGTCTTTCCTTCCTCTGTAAAAATGTAGGTTGGGGACTGTTACAATATTAGCTTACGCAGTTGTAATTAGATACTTAGAGAAGTGATTGTTTGATTAAACACGCATAACTATTTCCCCACCAACACGAACACGTCTTGAAACAGGGACTGACCCTAATTTTCTTGCCGATTTTTGCCGACCCTAATTTTTTCATTCCCAAATGCACCACAGGGTTCCCAGTAAGCTCATTTCCACTATTGTATCAGTAAAAAAATCCCACCTGCTGATCCCAATTAATTTTTCATGCAACAGGAAACACACTTATTTTTTTGTTTGGCCTTACAGAAGATTGATGAAGAGTAAAATATAAAGGTGTTAAGTGGCAATGCTGAACTACCTCCTATTACTACAAACTGATTAAAGATATTCAAACCAGCTTTTAACTAACTAAAGAGAGTTGCTCAAGGATCTTTGTTTTTCTTCTCTGCACAAAAAGCAAATACTTTCTTTCCAGAGTCCCTTTGATTATCCTACGCTGCCTCCACTTGAAGACTAGATACTCACCTCTGGTGTGTAAGTCTCTAGCAGATGTGGTTCAGAACTCTTAACATATGGCATGGATGCAACCATTCTTTGCCAAAGACTCAGTAGATAGTGAATACTGTTGGGGGGAAACTGAAACATCTAGACAACAATACAAAAATATCAGTAAGGTGTTGCTTTAGGAGGCATTGGTATTTGTAAGTTGTTTGTAAGGTGTCAATAGGTGTGGACAAGATGCCATTTGTAAAGTACTAGTAAGGTGTTTGTAAAGTGTCAATAGGTGTTGGTAAGATGTCAATAAAAGTGTTGGTATGGTGCATGTACTAAGGTAATTGGTTTGTGTATTGGTAAGTGGCTGGTAGGCGGTAGGTAAGGTGTTGGTAAGGTGTCACTAAGGTATTGGTATGGTCTTGGTATAGTGTTGGTAAGGTGTTGGTGAGTGGTTGGTAAGGTATTGATAAGTAGTTGATAAGGTGATGATAAGGTGTTGGTAAGGTGTTGGTAAGGCATTGATACAGTGATGGTAAGGTGTTGGTAAGGTGTTGGTACAGTGATCGTAAGGTGTTGGTAAGGTATTGATACAGTGATGCTAAGGTGTTGGTAAGGCGTTGGTACAGTGATGGTAAGGTGTTGGTAAGGCGTTGGTACAGTGTTGGAAAGGCGTTGGTAAGGTGTTGGTACAGTGATGATAAGTTGTTGGTAAGGCATTGGTTCAGTGATAGTAAGGTGATAGTAAGGTGTTGGTAAGGTGTTGGTACAGTGATGATAAGGTGTTGCTAAGGCATTGGTACAGTGATGGTAAGGTGTTGGTAAGTGGTTTGTGGTGGTCAGTAAGGTTTYGGTCATATAATGGTAAAACATGTAAAACAGTAAAGATAATGGTTATGTATATGTGGTGCATACCTGCAAACACCCAGTAACTGTGAACTTGGCAATCAAAGCAATAAACTCAGCATATCCTTCAACCTTGACCAGTTCACCAAGTTGATAGTTGGACTTGAGCCTTGCCAGCAGTCTGCAGAACTCATGGTAGTTGTTGGGGTGTGAAAGAAGCTGTGAAAATGGCAAAAAATCTTATCTTTAAACTACTTCATTCTAAAACACATACAAGAGAGGTAGATGTTACACAAGATAGGGATAGTGGGCTTCCTTTATGCACAGGAATCCCACAAAAACGTCTTTGCATTCAGGAATGACCCACATAACACTTTTAGGATTCTCCTCAACAGACCTCTACCCTGTTGAACAATGTTTTTGCATTTCACACCACGTGTCATTCCCTAGAGTATTATTTCTTTGTTTAACAGTTGTACATGAGAAGACACATGAATATAGATACAGCTCAAACAAAGAATCTTATTCCCAAGAGATTCACATGTGGTCTGAAATAGGAAAATGATACGCACCAAGCTAAAAAGGTCTATATCCACTTCAAAAAGCTTTCATTATTTAATCTTAATGACACTACACATTATACAGAATACCAACCTGTGGATCTTCCATTATCCCTTTCACTCCTTGTACCAATTGTTCAAGGAACTTTGCTCTTTCATTATTATTAAACAAGGAGCGTCGCACAGAGGCAAGTTGAACGAGACAAGACAATGCCTGAAAAATTAATAATGCATACTTTTTAATTATTCACATCCAGGAAAATACAGTCATACCATTAAAAAAAACTTTTTATGAACATATTAATTTTTTTTAAATAATTAAAGCTTAGATAGTGCATGTGCTATGACTGGTTGATAACTGTACTATATTTTTGAATAGAGCACTGTGCTGATACCTTTGCTGATACTAATTGCATTTTCTTCATTTTTTCTCTGCAAAGCACTTAAGGAAATTTTTCAAAAGAAGATGATAAGAATGTAAATATTCTTTAAATTGGTACTTACCATGGGTGAAAGGGAAGATGGCAAGGCTCTGAATAGATTGAAAAACAACTGTAATGTAGAGAAGTCTAAGAAAGCTGTGAAAATCAAAACGATCATTAATACAGTGTACTTACCTTAAACACTGCATTCTTATTATTTTATACTCTTTATATCTCTTATACTCTTATCAATCGGGTTGCAAAACCCGTCAAGCATTTAGCTGTCCGCCCAAGAGTGGTATAAGCATCATTAGAAAAAAAGAAAATACTATACCCCCTCTCCAACTGGTTGGGATCTGCACAGTGCCTAAATCATCGGAAGACTCATCCATGGATGTTCCAATGAAATCAAAAGATAAACAGTTACATGTCAACTGCAACAACTGGTTCATAAGTGAATGCTGTAATAACAGAAAGAGGTACGAAAAACATTAGACTTCATCAAAAATAAACATAAGATCAAGTTTAATTCTGAGGAATCACTTACTTGACCTTCATCCTGCAAATTTAACTGTTCACTGTAGGCCTAGAAAAAGGGATCACAGTTGCTATTAATAATAAAATATTAATAATAACAATTGATAATTACAATTTGTAAAGCACTTATCCAGGGCTGCTCTAGGCGCTGTGAAAGATGAAATACAAAATAATACAAAAAATAACTTAATGATGATTACGACAATCAGAAAAGTAATAAAGGTCACACATTAAAAGCTAATTTAAACAAATAAGCTTTCAAAGAAGTCTTGATGACAAGCTTTCAGAGTTCCTAATTGAAGATGGAAGGGCATTCCAGAGTTCAATTGCTAAAATCATATAAAATGTTATGTGCATTGAGATAATGTGAAATGCACTATATATTATAATGATAATAATATTATTAAAAAATAACCACACCCTGTGCCCCAATTCTATCTATACATGATAAATGTACACCTCAAAAGGTATAGCATACAATTATGTAACTTACCAACCAATGCGCATATACTCTGCCCTACTTGCCACACACGTATAAAGGAGGAGGATGACGTGATGCACATATACAGACCTCCCTGACCCATATATCCGTGATCAAAATAATATTTTTTTAAATATTGATAACTGTCATGAGTTACCTGTCTTAAGAGTGTGATGGAAAGGTTGAAGATGTCGAACAATGAAGTATCCCTGAAGGATGATGCAATCTGTAAAATATAACGAAAAATAAAAGTGTGATGCTTTATTTACATGGATTAAAATAAAAGTTTGTACAAGGCTCCCTATATCAAATCATAAAATTATAGCATAAAACATTAAACTGCAAAATTAAATTTGAAATGTTTTTGTCTACCTTTCTATGCTTTGTTAAAGATCTAGTAGAATCAGCCTAAAAATAATAACCCATTCAATATTAATTAGTCATAAAAATGATCATAATAATATATATTCACCATTTTCCATACATGGGTTCACTGGTCAAAAACAAAGCGCTCAAGCGAGGTGCCAAGGTACTTTCAAAGTATTATTCAAATTTGAACCTTGCAACCTCGACTGAATGCTTTGTGTTTGACCAGTGAACTGATGTATGGAAAATGGTGAATAGCTCATAATTCTGTTCTTACAGCAGATTTCATTAAGCTCAGATTTGTAGCCATTGGGTATTTTCACTCCCAAAATATTGTGGACACATGCAACTCTGATGGCTGAAAATCTAAGAGCCTAAGATCTCATATAACTGTGAAATATCAGGGTTTTCATTAAGCCATTCAGAGAATGGAGAATGCTCCAGTAACTGAGAAATCTCCAGCTTAAACTACTATCATGATCTTCTCCTTTTATTTAAAAACTTTATTTCAAAACCCTGACAGGATTCTACAGCTACTAAGTTCATGACCTTCTTCATTTTGATTGGATGAACAGGGTGTCGTCTATCCTTTGGGAAGCATGGGTGGTAGCAGTGGGAGCACTCGCCTCTCACCAATGTAACCTGGGTTTGAGACCCGACAAGGTCAGTGTTGTATGTGAGTAGAGTTGTTTGTTGGTTTTCTCCAGGTGCTTCGAGGGTTTTTCTCCCTCTGCAAAAATCAACTTCTAAATTCCAATTGGAATCCAGTGGAAGAAGAGCCACTCTGTGGAATCCACTGTTATTCCCATTTTTTATCTTTTTTATTTTTTATTTTTACTGTGAGAGTGATGTGTGCTGTGTCATTTCCTAGTCATCTACTGTATAAAGCCTGGTCCTTAATAGCAACATAAACAGAAAATAAGCATAAGCATAAGAATCAAAACATTCCATTCTTCTAATTTAATACCTGTGCTTACCGCCGTTTGCATTACTACGCGGCCACCACAGACACAAATCATGTTGTGTAGTTTGCAATAGACTGCTGTCAATCAAACACCTCATTCTACTTGGATGTACTGAAACTCTCTGAAATTGCTTTYGGAACTTTCCTTTGTGATATCTGACTGAGAAAGTTTGATAGAAAAGCCAACTCACTGATCCAAACGTGTATAAATGGCGTCAACATGAATGATTGACAGTTTGATAGAAAAGCCAACTCACTGATCNACTCACTGATCCAAACGTGTATAAATGGCGTCAACATGAATGATTGACAGTTTGATAGAAAAGCCAACTCACTGATCCAAACGTGTATAAATGGCTTCAACATGAATGATTGACAGTAGTCTATTGCAAACTACATGACTCGATTTAGTGTCTGGGGTGGCCGCGTAGTAATGCAAATGGCAGTAAGCTTATGTCACTGAATTCCCCAGTGACGACGTACACTCTTATGATTATATCACTAGTAAGAACCAGGCTTAAAATAATGTTGCTAAGCCATACCTGATTCATTTCACATACAAGCTGAGACAGTATTTGTACTCCAATAATACAGTGATCAACAGAACTCTATGAAATTCACACCAAAATAATTCAGTATCTTCAATGAATCCCAATGACCCCATATTAATCACAGAGCTAAAAATAGCAGCTGGTCAATGGACAACATCCTGCAAGAATTGGAACTTATCTGGTTAAATCTATGCCTTGCTGGCCAGTAATGTTGAGCAAGAAGCAAGGTATGACAGCAAACTTAAACTAATTTGGCCGGTCATCAAAACCAGGGACTGACCAGCCGTTATATTTAGCCCTGAATTGTTTTTGATATTTACCTTGGAGAATAATCAATACTATGATAGTAAATACCGCAAAGAGACCCCCTACCCAGTTTAATACCTTCAACCCATGTAATGTTCAATCAAGGGTGGTGTAGCGGTAGTGCGGTACCACCTCTCACCTCTGGGGTCTCAGACTCAACATCACATACAAGTAGAGCTTGTAAGTCTCTCCCTTGATTTGAGGGTTTTTCTAGTTCTCTGGATTTTCCAGCTTTTCCTCCCTCCACAAAACGCTAAATTCCAATTCAATGTGTGGGTTAGCCGTGACTTCAGGGCACAGGCTTTTTTTTGAAGTTGTTACTCATAGCATTCATTAAAATTATACATCTGAGTACATGTATTTGTATAATATGATCATAATCAAACAAAAAATTCTTTAAAGAATAAAACTAAACTGTACCTGCAAGAATTTTCCCACATCATCTGTTATCGTTCTAAACACCAGCGATGTTTTGTGAGTATCAAACCAACTCAACTTTGTCAATCTGGCTAGTAACTGGAATGAGGAAAAAAATAAAACATCAACTACAATAAATCATACTGCCACCTGGTCAGCTCAGTTGGTAGAGCATATGTTTATGTTTATGCATTTCAGGTGTTTTGTACTGGTCAAAAACAAGGATCTTACCTGAATTAAGGCTTGGGATACAAATGTAGCGAGCTTTGGTCTTGTACCCAGATAATTGAGTACATAATTGCCTGACAATCATAAGATATTTTTACATAAATGTTTGAAATTTGTTTGAAGGAGATATTCAACTTAATGGCCATATAATAGCCCCTCTATGAAAAGGATATAACAATTCTTAAAATAAACTTTATTAAAAGCTGCGTCTGATGCTATAAATCCTGATTACTGGTATGTGAAAATATGAACAATCAGATTGGTTTCCTGGGCGTCCAGAATCCCAGCATCAATATTACTCTTTAATTTGGTTCAAACTTTTTTCTTTCTGATTGTTATAATATCATCAACCAAGTTTTTTGATTCTGGATATTTGTGGGGATATATAGACCTAATCTTTTTTTGAGCTTTCATGGATGGGCTCACTGCATTAAAAAGAARAAAAAACAATCAACTTATTATTTTATAACTTACGAATATCAAGTCTCTGTTCAACTGGGAGTGCTGTGTTACGGCTGATAAGCCTCGTAAGCGATGATGCTGCTAGTAACAATGAGTAGGGTGACTAAAACAGACAAAAAAAAAAGAAGAATGAATAAAGGAAGTGAAAGACTTCTGGAATAAAGAGCAAAAGCCGAATGAGAAGTAAAGAGAGAAAATATGAAAAAGAGAAAACATAAAGATAAATAATGGGAAATTATGCACAAAAAGGAAATGGAATAGAATGGAAAATGAAAGGAAATAAAAAAGAAGAATGAATAGAGGAAGTGAGAGACTTCTGGAATAAAGAGCAAAAGTTGAATAAGAAGTAAAAAAAGAAAGAAAATATGAAAAAGAGAAAAAGTAAAGATAAATAATGGGAAATGGGAAATTATGCACAAAAAGGAAATGGAATAGAATGGAAAATGAAAGGGAATAAAAGACAATAGAGAAAAAAAGAAAAAAGAAAGAAATGAGAAGGAAGCTACTTTGTTACATATTTGATTTTTGTTGAGCCATATCTTTCCTTCAAAAGTGTTTTTTGTTTAAAATTGCATTTTCTTAAATGTTAAAAAGTCATAAATCCTTAAAATTTATTTCATATAAACACTCTTAAAGTTTGCAGCTCCAAACTCTTGCTTTACTTTCCCTTTCCTAGTGTTTGTAGRACCATTCCGCAAGTAACCAAACCCAAACAAATAGTTTTGAAAAAGTTATAATTGACAATGCATAACAATGATGGGACCCCAACGTCTGACTCTAGGTTCACATTGTTGAAACACGCTGGCATAAAAAGGCAGTCGGTATTCAAGATATAAATACTCAGTATAAAAGACATTTAAATTATGAAATGCTAACAAAATTCAGAATCAATGCTTATGAGTAATCAGTATACAGCAAAGCTTACGTTTCCTCTTTCCAAAAGGAACTGACATTTCGAGAGACAGTCTGGAGAACTCGTGAAGTTCACTAAAGCTTTCTCAGCAGTTTTTCTGGAAACCGTGTCCGTTGCTTCATAAAGCTGCTTGCACAGGAGCTCTAGCTGAGCTATGTCCTATTATGAGTGAGTAAAATAGAAGGGAAGATGAGTATAATGAGGTTATTCTGATGATAAAGTGAATATTTGTGCTCTACCTGTTCGTCCATGTTGTTTTGAACGAGACGTGGCTTGCAAATTGCACATGCGCAATACTCAAGATTCCGCTGAATCGATAAATGTACAAAATTATGGCGGGAAATAATATATTATGTACATTGGACGAGGGGTACAGAAAGGGTACAGTCATGCGATTTCTTTTTTTAGATTCTATTTAACAATTATTCGCCGAAGGCGAAATGAATATCGGGGAAGAATAATCGAAACGATATTCACTGAGACTGAGGTGAATAATTGTTTTAGTATAAATACACAGGTGATTCTTTCAAAAAAAGCAAAAGAAAAAAGAAAGACACATTTAAAATTAGGTAACAGCAACAAAGCGGCTGGCCGTCATTTTGGTTTATCGCTGGAGGTGATTATCGTGTGATAACCTCAGTTCTCGACCAATCAGCGCGCGAGATTTTCAATATTCACCTGTGTATCTATACTAATATATTTTAATTATATGTGGATTACTTTCCCAACATCCTTTCATTGATATAAATTTTTTTGTCTAATAATTTTATGAATTTCTGGAAAACTATCAAAACAGTATCGAGAGGGCGACGCCTACACTAGTCTCCGAGGGCATACAACTGAAGAGTAGCTCTTAAAACGAGAAGCAAGGCACCCCTGTCCAATATAGCCCAGTCTCGACTTCAAATCATTGTTTCGGGGCAAGCGAATAAGGGAAAGATCTATTATTGATCTTTTATCAGCATATATAATCGCTTAATTTTAATCTGAGTGAAAATGAGTTGTTCAAAAATAACATAAACAGCATAAAAACAGCAACGCATGAATCGCGTAGTTTATTGGAATTTCAGGCAGTTTTATCTAAAAAAATTGAAATATTTAATGACGTCACTTCCGACAACAATTGACAGATGACGACACATGTCTTGCCAATGACTAGTAGATCTAGACACTTCACTTCGCATCTTCTCACGGAAATACTAGTAATACACGTACGAACACTCCAAACAGGCACGTAACGGAACAAAAAAATATCTAACATCTGGCATGAATTCATTTTCCACAATTTCATTCATTTTAATGTTTTGCTTTTACTTTTGATGTATTTTCCGTTTCGAATATTTCAAAAAGAGACATAATGAGAGTACTTGGTAAAAATGGATGGATTTTTCGTTAACGATATATTTTTTCAGTAAAATTTTATTGGGATACATGTATCCCGTGACGAAACGGTGATCACGAAAGTCACGAACGGAATAACGAAAGACTCGTAACGTTCTCGAATACGAGAGGGGTCTGAGCCTGTATGTGACGTCACTACACCAGGAATTTCAAGGCTCGAAGAAGAAACAGAGAGTTTGTTTGAGGAGTTGTTTCATTCGGTTTTACCAATGAAATCTCCTTTTAAACCATAGGTTTTCCACATATACTTTGTCTAGAGTCCCCAAGGACACTGAAGGTGTTTCCCTACGCCGTAATAGGCGGTTTTTGAGCCCTTAGTTTGTGTCGTTTGAGACGCTGTACTCGACGTATATGGTCGAAGCAAAAACATGTCGTTCTTTAAACAACTCTTTCCTTTTATGAAAGTAAAGAAGAAGAAAGAATTCTCTTATATAATCAAAGATGTGGATCCTCATTCAGTATGGGAAATCGTTGGAGAACTCGGAGATGGCAGTTTTGGTAAAGTTTACAAGGTAAATAGAATAGAAATCGCAATATTGCTAAGGTGTATTACTCAAGAGCATTTTCACATTTCGTAGCTCGAGTGTATACGATAAGGCTCGATTTTGTCTCATAATGGTTGAAGAACCAAAGCTTTTTAGTGTTGTGTACACTCCAGATTGGTGAGTTGTGGTTTTATTAAGCATATAATAAGTACACACTCAAATAATGTCAAGACATTCTCAACTTACGAATACGAGATTCATGATTCTCGTCTTTCCCAGAACATCAATCATCGTTCAAAAGATTGAACAGAAATCAAAATAAGTTGGACTCTTTTTCAAAAATCTATTCATCCCATTGAGCCCTCTTAAATGCCGTCAAGATAACACTTAATTCCTTCACCGGCCAATTGTAATTCAGCATACTATTTTCGATCTCCTAGTTCTAGCAGATGTCATCCTAGCTGATAATCTTTAGCTTCACTATTAGATCTGAATCGGCGTTTTACACCAACTATCATTACAAAATGTGTCATCATTCATCAGCCTGATTCGCAGGAATAAGTCTTTTGACTGAATGAATGACTCTTTATTACCAATCTACAACCCTTACGACACCCGGAGTTCATACCCTTGTACCCGACGTATGTATGGAGCATTTGTTTTGACTCGAATTCTAACCGAGGTTTTTTCTCGACCCAGCAGGACAAGGTGGTGCTTGTAGTACTATTCAAATTTCCATTTCTACGTCTATCCTTCCTTACAGCTGAAAAAATATCAATTTATTAGAATATTTTTAAATATTTTCAGATATTATAGCCTTTGGTCACTTTCGTATCCTAACAGTAACATTAGATCGCCTTGTTAGTGCATTACTAGGTGTTAAAATAATTCCCCTATGACTTTAGGTGGATTAAAGAATCAATGACATAGCTCGGTACACTATCATTCAGAAGGCAAAATAAATTATTTCTAATTGGTTGATTAGAGAAGTCAACATTCTCTTTGCACAATATAAATATATATATATTCAAAGTTTGAAACTATACAGAAATTAATTATTGTATCAAGGATCAATTTCGCTAATGCAAATACAAAAATTAATGGCATTATTTTTCTCTGCTGCAACGAATCTTTAAGCCAGGATCACTTCATTTGATCACTGGCATTCAATTGCATTCATGTTTTGCTTGAAAAGTATTATCTGGTCTTACTCATCTTTAAATAACTACAACATAAACCTGAATTACAATCATTTTATTTGCTTCCTCATCCAGTAAAAAAGATCTCTCCAGAAGCTCAATCACCATACTAAACAATATTTTGTTTTCAATTKTCAATTATTAAAGAGTTGACTACTGATAATAAAGTGATGTATTTTAATACTGCCTTATAGAACTACTTAACCAAATAGATTCAGGTCAATATTATCAATGTTGTTAATTTTTCAAAAATATATGCATTTCATATCTTTATACTACTGATATACATGTGTTTGGATCTTGACTTCAATAGTGCATAAATTAGGACAATGATGGATCTTATTTCCTCTAACTCTCTCTTTTTATAGAGACTTATTCCAGATAACTCTTTCCAGATAATAACATATATTCTAGATGAATATTTTCATAATCTTGTCTATAATGGTGTTTGAATTCTCTGATTCTGAAAGCAAATTTTTGTGGTTGCAATATCAAAACTTAAGGTTACTGATGTATAGAAATAAGCAATGCATATTGGAATGTATTGCAGGCTTAGCCACAAAAAATTGTTCAATGATAAATACAATACAAAAAATTCCATGATGATTTGTCTTTAAGAACGATTGCGATAATTCACAAAGTTGTTGGCTATTTTTTTGTATTTTTAGATATCTTAATGTTAGGGGCTATTAAGCATGAAATATTCATGAAAAACTTACATGTAGATGGTTAACATGTATTTTAAAATTTAAACAAATAACAATACAATAACTTTGTTTCAAGACAGAAACCCAATAACCTTTTACAGTTTTTTTAATTTACGGCCCCCGATAACAACCTATGCTTTTTTAGGTTTTCTATGGTACATTTTGTCAGTATTTTTTGTTATTGATTATACAGTTTTAAGGACTTATTGATAATATTATTATTATTCCTAAAACCTCAAACTCCTTACCAGAGGACTTGAAATTATCGGATAACATCAGCATATTTAAAACAAAGATGAAGACATATTTATTTAACTTGTTTATCAATAATATAGTCAGTGTTACTCTAGATGGCATTTACACTTCTTATGTAAATTCATGTTTTTCGCTATTTCCATTTTCTTTTTTAGTTATGTATTTATATTGGATTACATATATTTCATTAGTTTTATTTTCTTTTTCTGCTTTTATAATTTTCACTTTATATTGTAAAAAGCATTGAGTTTTAGAAATGTGTTTTTTAAGAAATAAAGTTATTATTATTGTTGTTGTTATTAACTAAGTTTATTGATTCCCAGGCCCAACATAAAACAGAAAACATACTTGCGGCAGCTAAGATTATTGACGTTAATGATGAAAATGAACTAGAAGATTTTATGGTGGAAATTGATATCTTAAGTGAAGTAAAACACAAGCATATAGTAGGACTTCATCACACATACTACTATGATAACAAGCTGTGGGTAAGTGATTATTGAATTCTAGATTGTGCACTGGTCTAAGCCTATGCCACATAGGTGCCAGAGCAGTTTGAATATAGGGAATATAGAAGTTTTTTTCCCTAAAAAATCGATCTAAGATAGTTATTATTTGTTGATTAATCCTATATGATTAATATTAATTGTTTGTGGAAAAGGAAATTGCCCTTTTTAGTGCTTTCTTATTTATCATCCAGTAACTTAACTGTATATCTGTGTGGAAATATTTATCCACATGGTTTTTGGTCATCGAATGAAAGTTTTCACTTTCAAAATGTTCATACATGAAAATAATAAGGAAAAGAGTATTTTCATCCATACTTGCTTTGGTTTATTGTGCATGGTCAGTATCAAACACAAAATAATAGCTTTGTTCTATGGAGTTTCCAAATTATTACGCACCATTAACTATGCAAAAAGTGAAGTTTAAATTTATATCCAAATAGACTTGGTCACCTCTATGTGCTAGCTTGTGTGCAAGACTATGCAAAAATTTCTTCGACAAATTTTGAGTTAGTGTTTTTCTTATTGTGTTTTCTGCAGATGATGCTAGAGTTTTGTGCAGGAGGAGCTCTTGATGACCTCATGTTAGGTAATTATTATAATATTAGAATCACAGATGATGTAGCAGTAGTATGTTGATGCCCCTCACCTTGGGTATTGCTCTCATTTATGTCTCATCACCGCAATATGCATATGTCCAGGTTTTCATACTTCTCTTTCAAGTTGGCCTTCGCTCAGCCTTAGCCTCAATCCTGTGAATATATACATAGTACAGAACATACTAGTTGATTAAAATTCCACAGGTTTTGGTCAGAGGTTAAGGCTGAGCAAAAGAGTGCTTGAAAAAATTTAAGATCAAGTCAAAGGTTGTTTCAGGGCTCACTAAAATGATCATATGAATAAAATATAATACAAGCATCCCCACATAATCTTGTTTTAAAATATTGCATTTCAAATGATTATTTTTTTCAGAAATTGAAAGAGGGTTGACTGAGCCTGAAATTAAAGCCGTATGTTATCAACTTTTCGAGGTAAGGATATCAAACTAGTACATACATATATACATGTATATGTTATTGTTCGTAGAGAAAAACTCAGTTATAGAAAGGCTGTGCCATGCATGACTGTGATACAGCTCAGTGTCCAAGCATAGTTTTCTATTGACTGAGTAAATAAATGACCATGCTGTGATTGGTTTAGAGGATATATATATGTGTGTGTGTATATATCATGTGACCATTTCACAATCATGTGTAATCTACTTTTTAGAGGCTTTGCACCATCATGTGATGGCAGCCATGACCAGAGGCATGATCAAAAAGAGTCATTACCTCCTGGAAAACTGAATTCTTTCTCATGTAAATCAGATTAGACCTGTTACGGCTTCATGTTATGGCTGCTGTCACATGATGGTGCAAAACCTCTATTGGCAAGAACTGTATAATTTACATTGGAAGACTCCATTGTTCCTGCCCCAGCCTCCTGTCATAACTGTCATCAGCATATTTTCTGAAATAACTTTTTTTTCTTTCTTCCCCATAGCAAGTTTGATTCTTATTTCATTTTTGTTCAAGGGCTTAAATATTCTTCATAGCAATAAAATCATCCACAGAGATTTGAAAGCTGGGAACCTTTTACTTGCTAGCGATGGAAACATTAAGTTGGGTATGCTATAGTCTGCTCTCTTTGAACTATCATTTGAACTATCTTTTTCAAGTTGTAAACAGTTTCTTATTCCTTGATTTTGAAGAATAAAGGGTAGGGTTAAACATAGTGCACTTGCCTATCTCCTCTGGGTTCTGGTGTTCAATTCCAGGACTCAATGTCACAATTGAGCTTGTTGGATGTCTCCCTTGATTTGCGGCTTTTTTTCTGGGTTCTCCAGATTTCCTCCCATTCCATTTTGATGAATGAGTTAGCTGTGCCTTGCCCTAGATCAACTCAGAGGTTGATTCAGTAGGAACTGATTTTTCTGTGTGTCTGGTTGTTTTCAGCTGATTTTGGTGTGTCGGCAAAGAACAAGAAAACACTGCAAAGAAGATCGACATTTATAGGCACACCTTATTGGATGGCTCCTGAGGTTGTTGTCACAGAGACCTGTAAAGATGACCCTTATGATTATAAGGTATAAGGTTTTAATAGACCTCTGAACCTTTGGCATATTTCTCCCCCCCCCCTCCCCCTCCCCCCACATTTTAGACTATGTGTAATTCCTAAAGCATCATTTCTTTGTTTGATGGTTGTGCATGAGAAGACACATGAATATGGATACAACTCCAACAAAGGATCTTATTCTCAGGAGAATGACAGGTGGTCTGAATTGGGAAAACATTATGCCCAAGTTAAAAAATTCTATTGTATTATGATGGCATAACAATGATTATAACAATAATGCTCGAAAAAAGTAATTTGGTTGTAATCTATGTCCAAGAATCTTCAAATTCTGATATCACTGTTAAATACTTTAATTATACAGCTTCTCATTAATCCCATATAGGTAACTGCCCAATTATTTTCTTAAATGGACAGGTCTTGTTGATATGGGATTAATTAGGCAGCTATATAATTAATAGGTAATGGGATTTCATGCTCCCCAATCAAGAAATAATTAGACTCGAAAAATTCCTCTGACTTCCAAATTGGACTTGACCTATGGCCTCATCCAATTTTGTCAGTCCTTGGAATTTTCCTCATCCAATTATAGCATGGAGTCCTATTACATATACTAATAACATATTTCTTGTGCAATTAACAGGCTGATATATGGTCGGCTGGTGTTACTATTATTGAGCTTGCTCAGATGGTCCCACCTTATCATGCTATGCATCCCATGAGAGTTCTATTCAAGATCCCAAAAGCTGATCCTCCAACCCTTGACAATAGCAACAAATGGTAAGCTAATATTGCGCGTTTAGTTGATATCTGCAATAATGTCCAGAAGGCATCTTAATAGACAGTTTTCTCAAGGTTGCGTGTGCATCCAAATTTAAGGAACCTAATGATACCAGGACAGGAGCTTATAGTGAGAATTTAATCATATATTTTTATGAATCCATTATTCTCCTATTGAACTATAAAACTGGCTTCTTAATTTTACTGAATTTTCATTTTTCATTTTATGGTCCGTCAAGTTAGATGTGCTCGCAACCTTGAGAAAACGGTCTATTGACCTGTAAACCAAGGTCATCACAGAGTTGACTTCCATAAACAGTCTAAGAGAAGATGATTGAATATGCTTAAGAGGGGATTTTATTAAAAATACTGTAATATATTTTCATCGCATATTAATCAGGATCTGTCATCTGAATAAATCTCATCACCATAGTCTTTAGTGAAGGTTAAACACTGCCCTCTCAAACATAGCATTTTTATTGGAATCATTACCATTTAGTTGGTACAAATTTCACACAAGACTAGAAATGATGTCTATTGATAGCAGCCTACAAGTGTAACAACAGTGTAACAACCTGATAGGTCGTCTAAGACATTTTATATCGTTTAATTAGGTCAAAAGATCTACAAGATTTCCTTGCGTGTTGTGTGGTAAAGAGCCCAGAAATGAGGTCCACTGCTGCAGAACTATTAAAGGTCAGCGAAAGAGACTAATAATAAATCTATACAATCAAACCTCACCTTTCATGCAGCACTCTATAAATACCTATTGATCATAGATGACAACTTCAGGGGCGGGGGGACCGGGGGGGCACTGGACCCCCACTAGATTTTTTGGGGGGGCCTGGCCCCCCCAGAATATAATGCCTCACACACACACACAAAAAAAAAACGCATGAGATTTGGTTATGATTACCATTATTTATTATTTTGATATTACATAATTTTCTGTATCTAAAAAGTATACGATATATCTAGCGACGACTTGCATCATTTTTGTGTCTCTCAGCACAATTGCAAGTGGTTTAAATGTTACTGATTGAAATATCACACATACACGTTTGTAATCAAGCTAAACAGGGAGGGGGTCATTTTAAGGTACCGTGAAATATTGGAGTGCCCCCCCAAAATTTTTCAGCTTCTGCCGCCCCTGAACTTTGGCACAGTAAAGTTCTCGGTCACATATTTTTTAAATATTTGATTACTCCTATGATTTTGCTACACCTCTAAAACAAACATTTAAAATTACATTAGAGTTGCTTTCAGAATGATTGAAGAGGAATTAATCTTAGAATGCCCACCCCATGTCCATAAGCTTTCCAAACAATAAATCATATACTCCTATAGATTCCACTAAACCATATACCTTTTTTGAGATAAGGAACATGGTGCATCGTGGTCTAGCATCGGTACAAACATCATGCCTTATATGGTGTTGTTTGTACCCAATCTAGACCACAATGCATCCTGTTTATCAAACTCAGAAAAGGCCTATGGGAGCTCTGTATCTGTGTATTATGCAGTGGTGGTTTTGCTGGTATTCAGTAAATGATCTATACTCTACTACTGTAGTGAAGTGTCTGAGATCCCAGTCCCCTAGTTTTTACATCAATAAGGTGTAATATACTTCCATAAACTTCCCCATACCAACTTCTCCCTCGTACAGGGAGAGGTTTACTTCTTTCATTCTATGGTTATCTGATATTTGACCCAATTTTTCATTCATTGCAGCATCCTTTTTTGGTGAATGGTGTTGATGTCAAAACTCTTAAAGATCTCTACAACGAAGCCAAAGCTGAAGTTATTGAAGAAATTGAAGATCTTCCTGAAGACACAGAGGTAACTAAACTAACTTTAAACACTAGCAAATCCTCATATATTGATTTGTAATTCTACATATGTGCTAAAATTGAATCATGCGATGCCATCATGCGATGCCATCAGTGACATATTTCCTTCTATATCCTTCCTTTTCCTTTTTCCTTTTTTTTAATTTTTATTTATTTATTTATTTATTTTCCTTATTTTTTAAATGATTTCATTCAAGTGGCTCTTGTTTTTTCCAACAGGAGAAAGATAATGAACGACTAAAGAGTTCTGGCTCATTTGAGTATCTACTGAATGAAGAGAAGGATTCTGATAAAGAAAAGGAAAACGAGAAAGAAAAAGAGAACGAGGAAAAGAAAGAAAGTGAAGATGAAGTTTTCAAGAACAAAAAAGCAGAAGAAGAAAAAGAACCAAAGAAAGAAGAGGAAAAAGTCAAAGATGATGATAAGAAAGCCGAAGGCACAGAAGATGTTTCAAAAGAAGGTGAAAGCACAGAGGAAGTTTCAAAGCCAGAACAAGATGCTGAAGATATATCAAAGGACAAAAATAAACCTGAGGAAACTTCAAAGACAGAAGAGGAAAAAGCTGTAGATAATGAGGAAAAGAAAGAAATACCTGAAGTGAAAGAACCTGAGGAAAGCAAGAAAGAGAAAGAACCAGAAATAAGTGAAGAGAAAAAAGAAACAACAGAGAAGAAGGACGAGAAAGAAGAGGAGAAAGGCCCAGATGATAAGTACTCCTCACGATTAGATAACATTCTAGATGAAATGGAAACTGAAGAGAAGCCTAAAGAACCAGTAAAAGAAGAGAAGGAAGAGGAGAAAGACAAGGAAGCTGAACAAGAAAAGGAAGCTGAACCTGCGAAGGAACCAGAAGAAGCTTCCCAACCTGAAGAAGATGCAACAAAAACAAATGAAGGCGAAGAAGAAAAGAAAGAAGAGAAGGAAAATGTAGAGGAAAAGAAAGAGGAGCAAATAAACAAAGATGGTATGAAGGAAATTCCAATATTGACTGATGAAGGTGGAGAGAAAGAAAAGGAAAATGTAGAGGAAAAGAAAGAGGAGCAGTTAAACAAAGACGGTATGAAGGAAATTCCAATATTGTTTGATGAAGGTGGAGATAAAAAAAATAAAGAAGATAATAAGACACAAGAGAAGGAAACCGAAAAAGAGCCAGAAACCACCCAAGGAGGTCAACTGAAGGAATTTGCTATATACACGGATGATGGCGATGTTCCAATAGAGAATAAAGATGACAAAAAAATTACTGATGAGACCACAACTGATGGAAAGAAATTAACCAATGGAGCCATTCTGGCTGCTGAGCTTAGCAAACAGACTGTACCGAAGAAGGAGGGAGACGCGGAGAAAACGGTAGGAATAGAAAGCTGTTTGTCTCTATGCCTTGCTTTTAATTCTACCCACATGCAGAATTTAAGTTCCTTTTCTTACTACTATTTCGTTTGGCTTTACTTTCCTTCCTCTTTCTTTATTGCTACTGCTACATTTCCCCCATGTTTTGCCAGCATTTGAATAGACTTTATTCTTAGTGTGACAATGTTTTCCCAATTCATCATGACGAACCTCCAGGGGATTCATTTTCTTTTGTTTTTACTTTTCGAAAAATTCATGAGTATCCCAAAGGATACGAAAGGAATAACGATGATATCCCGACGAGTTTCAAAACAATAGCTCTTCATTCCCCCAGAGGTTTGTCACGCTGAATTGGAAAAACATTGTCACACCACGAATAAGGTCTATTGAGGTTCTCTGGTGTTGGGTCATACGTGTATGTGTGGCTACTGAATTTCAGAGATCTCTTAGCCTGCATAGTGACACAGGGTACCTATCGCTCTACCCAACGTCTTGTCTTTGTTATGTTTTTAACTTTATTTATACGTGTGATAATTCTCCAGGGAGAAAAACATTTCAAGACCCTCAAACGAACACGTAAATTTGCTACAGAAGATGGTAAAATAGTGACAGAGACAACATCAAGAGTGGTAGACGTTAGTGGCGAGGACTTTAAGAATGCACTAATCAAAGAGCAGCAACAACGGTACGTTACACGTCTCTTCCATTATTCTTCCTTCTCCTCCCTTTCCCATTTCTATTCGTATTTCTCATTTACTTGCCTTGAAGCGTTGCCTCTATAATTGCCTGTCGCTTTGTTCATCTTCCAGTGGTTCCTTCAAACCTTCGAATTTTTTTGTAACCCTGAAACGATATCTGGGCTTATCTAAGTCAGGGCATGTACTAAAACACGGATTGAATTGAAATTTAGCGAGTTAAGTTTTGCGGAGGGATGAAACACTACTAGTACACCATTCATGATTCCTTTAGTCCCAAAGGGATCTTCCTACTTAATGCTTTGTTACTATGCATATTCCAATAAGCTTCAACTTGTTTTTCGTCTGATATCCCAACAGGAAGATGAACCTTCGTGATATGAAGGTCTTTCAACGTCAGGAACAGAAACAAGGTATGGAGCTGATGTCCAAAATACGAAGACAGTGGGAGGCTCAGGAGCAGCGCTTCGAACAAGAGATCCAGGTACGGCAACCACCCCCATTCTCCCCTAAAACCGAGTTCGATTAAAAGTTGTAAATTTTCCTATTTTGTTGGGCTACCTGTTGTTTTGGCGGCAATTTTCGTGCCAAAACGCGTGTGCTCACCCCTACCAATTGGCTTACTCTTGTCGCGCCACTTGCATCGTTGAATAAATTTTGGACTATAGTTGGTTGAAAACATACCATGTCATCACTAACTGTTATTATTCATACATTAGGACATCGAGAAAAAGTATGAAGGTGACTTAGATAACCTTAGTAGAAACCAGAAAAGAGAAATCGAGAAACTAGAGCTGACACAGAATGCAGATTTGAGGGCTTCGTCAAGGAAAATGAAACAAGATCAGGTATCTAGACCTGCAATCTCTCTCTCTTTCTCTCTCTCTCTCTCTCTCTCTCTCCCTCTCTCTCTCTCTCCGTATTTTATTGACGCTTTGCTTATTTGATCCAGGAAAAGGAATTAAGGAAATTTAAAGAGAACCTAAAGGAAGAGGGCAGGAAGTCTAAGAAAGACGTAAGAACTTTCGTATTATTTGATGCTCAGAAATCGTAATTATAATCGCGATGTTGATATTTTCCTTATTGCAAATGTTGCCTGTTTAGATTGATAAGCTGCCACGACCGCAGCGTAAAGAAACGTGGAAGAAAAAGAAAGATGAACTAGATGTATCGCATCGTCAAGCGGTTAGTAAATTATTTTGATGTGATAGTAACGTATTTCCAGTGGTAATAATAACATTTAACTACTGAGTAATACATTATATCTTGTGAAATATCATCACCACTGTCATAATCAACACCATTATCATCATCATCGACATTACCCTATCACCAGCTTTATGGCCATCGTGATGGTGATGATGACTTTATTTCAAGAGGGATAAGACGTATCAACTTAAAAGGGGTACTGTATCTAACATACGGCCCATATCATCATCATCATCATTACCATCATCATCTTCATCATCTTCATCACCACCCTCATCATTATCACCATCATTATCATCATCCTCATCATTATCATCATCATCATCATTATAATTATCTTTCATACTGTTATAATTGCGCTTATATAAACACTGTTATAATGCAGGAACACGAGTTCTTAGCGATGCAACAAACAGAGTTCGAGAAATTCTACAAACAAATGATCGACTTGCACAGACAAAAAATGTTTGAGATGGAAATGCATTTTCTGGAATCCAAACATGAAAGAAAAAGAGGTATGTATCACTGTGTTAAGATACACAAGACTCGAAATGGATGAAATAATGGGAAATGAATTAATGGGAATAGAAAAAAGAAGTTACTACATTTACAAAATGGTAGCTGAAGTAATAATTCGTTACTATGAGAAAAAAATGGAAGAAAAATAGAAAATGAGAACTGGATTAATGGGAATGGGAAAATAAGAAATTATAATAAATATATAGAAAAGTAGGAAAATGGATAGGTGAAGTAATTATTATCATTATTATTATTTATTATTATTTATTATTGTTGTTATTATTAGTATTTATTATTAGTATTTATTTATTATTATTTATTATTATTWTTTTTTATTATTACAATTATTATTATTAATAATTGACAATCTATCTAGCCCACGAGTCTGAGAAATGGGAAATGGAATATCGTCATCTGAATGAACGACATCAGCTCGCCAAGACTCAGCTGAAGGAGACGTTCTTCCTTCAGAGAGCACAGATGTTAAGCAGACACCAGAAGGTTAGTCTTGGTGCAAGTAGTCATCTCATACATAACTTAGTAGAATACCTCATCAGTGAGGGACCCAGGGGGAGTTCTATGGATTCCATGGAATCCTCTATGGATTCCATGGAATCCTCCTTTGTGAGATCTTGTGAAGCCAGTCATATTCTTTACTCTCAGTAGAATGACATTGGACCCCCCCCCTTTTGTAAAGCCAATCTTACCAGCTTTTTTCTGCATGGCGGCCATTTTGGAACCCCCATTTTAAAATCTTGGCTCCGCCGTTGCTATGCCTGAGAAATTCATACTATAAGAAAATATCTCGCTCGCCAGCTATATTTATACCCACGAGAAAGAAAACAGTGTTGTGTCTTGTCATTATTGCACTAGTATTTATTAGCCCTAGTACGCGGATCATCCAGGCAAACCGCCCAAACGGGAGAAAACTTTTTATTGTCGTAGTCCGCAACATGACAGCTGCTTGATCCTCGAAAGGCAGGCCCAAAGTATTAAAGATGGCAGGGTATTTTTTTCCAGTTTTCTAATTGGATGAGAACTGATTGCTCTGTGATTGGCTCCATGGGGTTGTCATGACCGTACCTCTAGTATGCGCATGCTCAGTGCCGTGTACTCTAAAATTCGCACGYTTTCATTCATTCCCAAGACCATGTTCTTTTTGGTCTCCGCTAAGGAACGACGCATGTTTTATACCGTTAATCACATGCTCAAGTACCATTTTTCTGTCATTTTCCAGGAAGTAGAACAACACCAACACTTAACTAAACTACAAGACGACGAAATGAAACGTCGACACGAAATCGAAAGGAAGAGGCTGCCGAAAATACAGCGTAATGAGATCAAGGTMAAGGCGCAGAACTACCGTAAAATACTACGAGATAAGAAGGTCTCTCTGGAACAAGAAAAGGATCTAATGAGAGAGGTACATATCACGAAGTAGTCACTGACATTTTTTTGGGGGGAGGGGTGAGTGGAAGTCGAGCATCATCACGAGAATACTCACTATTTCTTGGGAATCGAATAGCGATTATCATTTAAGAACTGAGAGGAAAATCTGAATGGTAGTAGCTTTAAAAAGGAAAAAGAAAAAAGAAAAAAAAAAAGGAAAAAAAAGTAGCTTTAAAAAAATGGTCGCATTTAGATTTTGAAATGAAGAGGGGAGAGGTGGGGCTTACTCCTGAAGCAGATGTTAAATTTTACTCGCTTAGCTGTTTAATGATTTCCTGAAAATGTTGAGATTAGAAGAGGARAGGGAGTATACAGAACCCATTGAAGAGTATCTTTAGCTGTGTAGTGTCGTTCATAGAAGGAAATTTATAAAAGACGTTTATGGTGTCGTGTGTTTTAAGTTTGAAGAGGAAGAGCGCAAGAGAGCACGTTCTGAATGCGAAAAGATGGTTCTTCGACAAGAGTTAGAAGCTGAAGAATTAAGGAATTCATCCGAAGCTGCTCTTAAAGAACTGCAGCAATTACAGGTACGTTAGTGGAGAACGAGAGAGCAGTTATACCCAGCATGGCCCAGCATGCATAGCGTCGCATTCGAGCGATTTAGTACGAGCACCTAAAATSTACTGTTTTCAGCAAACACGACGGTCGTTTGCGAAAGAATCAAATGAAGGGGTGCTTTATGTTTGTTTTATTATATWATTTTTCGTGACTCGGAAGTCTTCGTAAAATATAGCGTACAGACACCCTGGCAGTGACCACCCTCGGTGTCTGGTCTGATAATGATTTCATAATGGTTGAGTGTAGGAGGGGTATGGGGACTTTAAAGGGGTTGAAGATGTTGGAGATGGGTGCAATGATACCCCGTAGCGTACGTTCCTCGAGTACTATTGTGCGGCAGCACCCTGCTAGCCGAAAACAAAATCTCAAAAACATATACACTTGACTTAGTTTGATATGTAATCTATAGAATGAGAAGAGACACATGTTGATGGAGAGCGAGACCCTCAAGTTAAAGGAACGAGATGACAAGCATAATGCACAGATGATGGCATGGAAGGCTGAACTTGGACCAAGAAAGAAGGTAGGTCTTGATTCAGTGTACACGGGCTGTTAATAACGTCTATGTATATTCAGATCTTCGTTGTTTGCTCTTGGTTGGCTCGAGATGGAATGCATGGTTTTCATTCTACGTTATGATTGGCTACCTTGGTAGAGTATATGAGCAATATCTTTGTGTGTAATTCGAGAGACAAGGCGCTCGCGCAAGGAGAACTTATAGCTGCGTGGCGTACCTGGTTCTCTTCGCTCCAGCGATTGAAACAACTACGTCTTTTGAACTCTATTGACGCACAACCCACTCCTAAAGCCTAGTATGACAAGATCAATATATGCCGGCATTTTACTTCGCAGGGTCTAGAGGAAGAGTTTGCGCGTGAGAAAAGAGAACAGCAGTTGTTTTACGCACGTGGAGGAGAAGCAGAGCATCAACCGAATGATTTGCGCGTACCTTCAGACATGGAATCCATGGACGGATCAGGGGGAAGCCAGACAGGCAGCCAAGCAGGTAGCCAGACGGGTAGTCAAAAAACTCCTGATGACACTAGTTCGTCTACTGGTTCGTTGGAAGTATAGATAATTCATTCTAAACCTTTCTTGCTAAAAACATTAGAATATTTGATGAAAGTAAATAAAAGCACGGCAATATCGTGTAAGATATCCAAACCACGTTCGCCAATGGGATTATCAAGTTACAACAATATTGTAATTAATTGTCAGCGAAAGCTATTTTGAAATACTAGGAAAACCAAGACATCGTGATATAATAGATACGACATGTTGCGCAACCCTACGACATGTCGTGCTCGATTTGTCGTATAGACTTGTTCGTACGTACGATGAAAAAGATGTGTGACGGTACGATGAAGTTGACACAACACGATTTACGTCGCGCAGGACTCGGCGTCGATTGTAGAGTACAACTAAGTGTCATTTCTTGAAAACGGTCCAAAACATCAAAAGATCCTTAGTTTCTTATATGTGATATCGATGTTTGGACACACGATATAATGCTATCCGTGACATTACGAATACTAGTATTACTAGTTTTCTTGGACTGCCACATCACAGTTACTTATCTACCATTTCTTGCAACAACCCAAAATTATTAACGTTACAGTGGTTTGATCAGCAACGAGCCCGCGTTGCTCGGCGGTCAGCGGTGTTGAGAAGAAGACCGCAGACCACCAAGTAACACGGGCTAATCAGGCTAGTCTYCTACGGACGTTTTCAGCTGCGGACAAACGGAACGATAAGTTCATTGGTGGCCTTCATAACGCGCACATTTGCTACGTGTGTACGAACTTTAGATAAACTTTTTTCTCAGCAAATAAAACAAAGTAGTAGGTACTTAGGGCTCAGGTGAAACGTCAAACCTCACATGAGCCGAACCTAATTTAAAACGGTAGATAACAAGGCGGTCTGCTTTGATGTCATTAGGTTCGGCTCATTTGAAGTCACTTTACAGGCAGTAAATTGAATATCATGATATTTTTCAAATGGATTAAATTTCGCGATGAAAGTCAGAATAAGATGAAATATATTGACATGAGCACCTCATGTTTTGATGAGGAATGATTATATTCTCTGGTTTAGGCAGAACGTACAACCTTCACTCTTCTTCCAACATTTACAAACATTTCTAACTTGAAAAATAATTTGAATTGAAAATGCATAATAAAAGGAATTCGTTAAGCTGTTTGTGTTTCGTCTTAAAAACTCCTTGGGGTCCATGGGTGGGGTTGCCACGTAAAGTGGGGAAAAGATGAGCAACTCTTTCTTTGAATGATCATCAGAA